GACACAATATGCAGTAGCCGGTAGATAACTATAGGTTTATATTTCATTAAAAACCATAATTTTGTACTACGACTTAGCCAAGCACATCCCTGGCTTCGTTAGGATGTCCACTTTTTGGGAAATGCATTTTGGATACTTACAATTTGCATAAAGTGGTGGTGAGGTCGAGTTGTCCAGAAAACGGTATATCGGTGCAGGATTACGTGGCGATCCTAAGTACATTTTACCCATGTAATCCTGTACCAATATACCGTTTTCTGGACAACTCGACCTCACAACCACTTTATGCAAATTGTAAGTATCCAAAATGCATTTCCCAAAAAGAGGACATCCTAACGAAGCCAGGGATGTGCTTGGTTAAGTCGTAGTACAATATTTCTATTTTTAATGACTTATAAACCGATTAGTTTCTACCGGAGTAGTGCAAATTACGTTCGCCCGGCACTTATAATATGAAATAAAATTACTAAAAATCCAAATTTGGTACTACCGCTTTCAAATAGATATCCCTCGACTCTACATGACTTATTCTATACCCCCAAATAGTTTTAAGTCCCCTGGTAAGCGTATTAGACTTGTAGTGGTCGCAAAACAAGTATTTTACCTCTGTTATCCTGTACCAATATATCGTTTTCTGGGCAAAACCAATTCTTTTGAAAAGGTGACCTTTGAGCTTCTTGAATTTGACGCATGTCGTCAAACGTTGTCGCATTTTATCGTCATCCAGATTTTGTGTTCATTGTTTTCATCGTAATCCGTGGTCGTAAATTTTTATTATTTTATATTACAAATTACTGCAAATTACTGCAAAAATGTACAAGCGAAGAAATCGTTAATAATGCACAAAAAAATCTGACTATGGACAAAACAAAAAATAATGTATTTGATTTTCTGAAATTTTCTGATTTTATTGGTAATTACTTTATTTTTATTTTAATAATTATGAATAGTTACTTTATTCTATTAAAAATTAAATATTTATTTAATAATAAAAATATACTTATTTGAAGAAAAGAACTTTTGCACATCTTACATTTATACCTCTCCCTGCGAGAGTTGTGTATTTCTTTATGTCTTTTAACTGATTTTTGAGACGATAGTATTTTATTGCATATTTTACAACTATTAACCTTATTGGGGGAATGTGTTATTATATGTTTTTGGAACCAACCATGTTTTTTGTACTTTTTTTGGCATATACTGCAATGGTAGCGGTCATCCTCGATTGGACACTTATCACTGGGTGTAGCCTCTACATCACACCTTTTAACAATGATGGGACTTGTAGCGATGGACTCTACAAAATAGCAAAAAAAAAACATTTAGGTATAATTTGTTAGTAAGTACATTATTTTCAAATTACTTGTATAGGTGTGTGCATCAACATTTTTTGTGGCATTGCCAATAGGAAATGGTCCGCGATGATTGCTTGCCAAATGGCACATGAATATTGATCGGTTCTTAAATTTAATATTGCAAGCATCACAATAATTAATGTTCATTATAGTTAAAACAACACTCCTTTATTATGCATTATCAACAAACCTTTCGATAATGCACTTCTGCACTTTACTGATAACTAAAACCTACCTCAATGCAGTAGGATCACATATGAAAAAATAAATATTGTACAATACCTTTACTATAATTATTGTATCAAATAGTATGATAATGGTTAGGAATTTTGCGGGAGTACTAAATATCACTGATGCTTTGTATTTTGGATACTACGCATAATATATACTACGATATATTTGCATAAACTGGTGGTGAGGTCGAGTTTTAACATATTATATAACAGGATTCCATGTGGTGGTGGCAAAACTCGACCGAGGATTACGGGGCTAAAATGTACTTTTGATGCCGGCAGATATCTATAGTTTTATAAGTCATTAAAAATCTAAATATTGTACTACGACTTAGCCAAGCACATCCCTGGATTCGTTAGGATTTCCCCTTTTTGGGAAATGCATTTTGGATACTTACAATTTGCATAAAGTGGTTGTGAGGTCGAGTTGTCCAGAAAAAAGTATATCGGTGCAGGATTACGTGGTAAAATGTACTTAGGATCGCAAAAACTGTGTTAAATATTAATTTCCCCTAATATTGTCATTTGGATAAATTGTTAAGCAAACCTGATACTATAGGTTTCCAGTTTCAGAACCTAAAAAATTGAACTTTAAATGCTAAACACTTTCCGGTGCCTTCAGAAATATGCCTGGGTTAAAACCTATGGTTCTGAGTTGCAATGGTTCAGAAGTCACCGGAAAGTGTCCAGCATTTAAAGTTCGATTTTTTTGGTTCTGAAACAGGAAACCTATAGTATAAGGTTTGCTTAACAATTTATCCAAATTACATTATTAGGGGAAATTAATATTTAACACCGTTTTTGGCGATCAAAAGTAAATTTTAGCCCCGTTATCCTGCACTGATATACCATTTTCTGGACAACTCAACCTCACCACCACTTTATGCAAATTGTAAGTATCCAAAATCCATTTCCGGCATAGTAGACACCCTGACGAAGATAGGGATATCATTGGCTAAGTAGTGGTACAAAATTTCGATTTTTAAATTGGTATTCAAAATTCAAATATTCGTGTCTACCGCGGTAGCGCATATTATGAGTATCCGGGACTTTTTTGTATGAAAAACAATTGTTAAAAACCCAAATTTGGTAGTACCGTTTTGAAAATAATATCACTCGACTCTAAATGACTTACTCTATACTACCAAAGTGTATTAGGTCCCCTGGTATTCGTTAGGATGTCCCCTTTTCGGGAAATGCATTTTGGATACTTAGTTTAAGTCCCCTGGTAAGCTAATTGTACTTAGGGTGGTGGCAAAACCAGTATTTTACCCATGTAATCCTGCACCAATTTACTGTTTTCTGAAACGACCGCTGTTATGATTATGAAGACGATGGTGGTGTTGTCGGCGGGGGGGGGGGGGGGGGTGGAAGGGGGTCCTTGCATATAGCGTTGACGGATGTGCAAACGTTGGCTGTATATTTCTATTCTTAGGAATCCTGCCGTCCGATACAGAAAATATCCCATAAACAAAGCTTTTGTTAGAGAACACATATTATGATAAATAATTGTCGATAAGATACGAAATATATATCATCAAAGGTTTTACTGATCCACTGTCCATGTCTATGTTGTCCACTGTTTGAGTTTTTGAAGTCTGATATATTTTGTAATTCAATATATTTTTTTAAATTTTTTAAATTGAATTTTTATTATTTTTTTAATTTATTTAAATTAATTTAAAAAAAAAACAATGTTGCGAAAAATGACATTAATAAAGGTACAATCAGCGAAACAACAGATCATTAAATACTATGTGTATAGAGATATTTTTGATGATTTAAAATTTTCTGATTTTATTGGTAATTACATTATTTTTATTTTAATAATTATGAATAAATAGTTACTTTATTATATTAAAAAATTAAATATTTATTTAACAATATATTCATATATATTAGATCCACCGAATGAACCAATTAACTATAATTATGAACAATTACAACGTATTGGTGAGTAATTATTTTATAATATTATAAAATATCAAATTTTTTTATTATATTATATTTTAAATTAAAATTTAAATATTTATTTAACAATATATTTATACATATTAGATTCACCAAAGGAGACAAATAATAATATTCATGAACAATTAGAAAGTATTGGTGAGTAATTATTTTATAATATTAAAAAATATCAAATTTTTTTATTATATTATATATTAGAGCAACCAAAAGATGAAGCAAAAGAGCCCATTGTACGTCAAATTAGGAAAAAAAAATGTTTTTGAAAATGTAAGCATAAATGGAGTTTAATTTTTAGATTCTGAGTGAAACGATGAATGTATTGATTTTACAATGATTCAGAAATTTTTCAGAAAATTGAATTTGGTTTTTGGTGTAACTTTAAAACAAATGACCGTAGATACATGAAATTTTCACTGGTTGTTTATATTTTCATTTTCTATACACGATAAAATTTTCAAAATATTTTGATCTATTTTGAACTGTTTAGGGACATTTTCATTTTTCATTTTTTTTTAGTTTTTTTTCTAGAAATATCAATAAAATTTTATTTGTTGGTTAAAAAAACTTTAAAATTTAATAGAAGGCTCCTAGTATATTGTTTCAAAGGCAGATGAAAACTATTAAAAATCGTTAGTCACAGTTTTTTTTTATAAGCATTTAAAGTTCAAAAATTGACAAAATATGGAAAAATCACGAAAATTGGCATATTATTTTGAGTTAAGAATTCGTAAAAATTTTTCTTTTTAAATCTAAGATTTGAAAATGTAATACAAGATTACTCATAAGTTTTTCTACCTTTATCAATAAAAAAACTGTAGTACTGTGATGCATGACAAGTTATACAGGTATGTATTTGTTTTATATATGGGACATTTATTGGATTTTTTCCACATTTTTTGGCACAAGAGTAGCAACAATAAATATGGCCAATTTTTCCATGGTTAATTGCATTCGTTTATACGCTCGTCTAGGTATGTACAAGAATTGTAAAAACTAATAAAAAAAAAAAAAAAATGTCCAATTGCGGCATGAATGTTGTATGGTTTCTCCACACACATGTGGTTTAAACTAAAAAACTTTAAACTAGGTAGGGTAAAACAGTGGAATAGGGCCTTCAGGCGAAAACCACTTAAAAAAAAACGCACTTATGTGTAACACCTCAAGGGTAGTGTGGAAGATTACACGAAAAATGCACATAATATAGCACTTAGGTTTATGCTACCTGATGCCGATTGCACGGGGCGAGCCGGTCAAGCCTAGGCTCGACCTGAAACTTTTTAGGGGCATAGTAAAATGTACGTATTATATTATATATTATAGTTCTGCAAAATTATTTCCTTTGAAAAATAATAGGTGTGTAATATTAATTACCTTAGGTACCTACTAGCCTAGTAGTACTAGGTAACTTAGGTACCTACTTAACTGTGACGCCTGGATGAAGATGATAAGAGTGATGGTCTTGACTGGACGCCAAATGCAAGGACGGCCAATTGAAAATGACCTTAACAAAAAATGTATTTCTACAAGGGTATCAGTGAATGCATTGATTGGTGACCGAGGCCTAAGCCATGGTTTATGTGATCTTAAAGTTCCGAAACTTTTAATCGACCGATCCACAGGATTATACAATTGGCCCGGATGGGCCTTGACTTTTGATACGGATGAAAACAGTTCATTTCACTCGAGTTCACCCGATAATAGTGACTTCGGCTCGGATAGCGTGGACAGCGGACCCATCGGCGTAGCATGCAATCACCCACGTATAACGGGTTTTACGTCTTTTACTGAGACATCTAGTGAATCCTCGAGTGAAGCTTCGAGTAAATCAAAAACTAGCAGACTGGACGTTTTTATTCGTGGAGCCATTCGCGAGGCAAGGCGCAAGGTGCGTCTCCAATATGACAGTGAACGTCGTTCGATGGAGCCGCTCTTCGACGCGGAAGCGAAGCGCGCAGAAGCGTTGGCTGCTGAGCGTGTGCGTTCCAAAGTGAGACACCAAAACGCCACACAACGATTCAATAATAATCCCGCACCAAGGGGAAAATCAATTGAACATTATTTTGTATCGGTATAAACAGCTTAATCACAAATTAAAATCACAGTTGGAGTGTTCATGGACAAGGTATTACGGCAAAAAGTTAATTCCTACAAATATAAATAAATCGGAGCACCGAAACGATATATCGTTGAAATGTTGGGTATCACCAGTTCCGTGGATTCATCAAACCATAATAAAGTGAGTTATATTGTATATTTACAAAAAATATTGTACTTTTAGCAATTTATTGTTTTTTAGAGTAGTAGTTGTAATAATAGAGTAGTAAATAGTTATTGTTAAGAGGTCGTCGTCCCTGCATATTATCGTCCCCATTCATACAAAGTCCAAATATTTTTCCGGAAATATTTTTTATTCCAAAGGGGAGTCACCTGCCACCAGTGCCCCCCCTGAATCCACCCTTGGAATTTTAAAATTTTAAAATTTTTGAAATTTTTTTATATTCTTTTAAAGAAATTTCGCGTGACATCGCTTCATGTTTGATTTTTTTGAAACAAACCATAACCATAAAATTTTCTGATTTCCCGTCACGTTAGTCACGTTTTTTGGCAGAAATTAACATGGAATTCAATAAAAGTAAACATTTAATTAAGTTATTCAATTGTTAGATTCTGAGCGGAACGATGATTGCATTGGTTTTACAATTATGTGTTTTTAGATTCTTAGCGAAGCGATGAATGTATTGATTTTACAATGATGCGTTTTTTTTTATTTTTTTTTTTGTGTCGTCATCACCTCTGACATCCACTTGCCCACCTTTTTTTAAAATTTTTTTTTTATAGTTTTTGAAAACAATCGGAGCATTAAAAATTATGAGTGTAAGGAAAAGAAATACCATTTTTTAATGATAAAATGTGCATTTTGTACAAAATCATTTATTTACGAATGTAGTACGTTACACCATACGAAAGTTGCACATAGTATGCAGAGGTCAACATCAGTAATTGTACCTAGACGACATTTGACAAATGAAGTATAATTTTTTTATTTTTTTAATAGCATTGGTGTTTTAATATTAATTTTATTTATATATATCAGGATGTAGTTATGAAAATTGCGTCCGTGATAACAAAATTCGAAAACATCAATACAGAAGCACTATATTATTTACTATTGAGCTATGACTGTCGCTTTGAAAACATAGACCATCTAAATGAAGTTATAACATCCAGCATTGGCGAAATTCAACACAAAATTAACAATAATACACAAGTACATAACGATTATAACAAAAAATAATAATAATAATACACTAATAATAATAATATTTACAGATTCTTAAAAGATTCAAAGATGTTAATAATATAATAAAATTTATTGAAGAGGAGGAAGAGGAGGAGTTAATAGTCAAAGGAGATCAAAAGGCCATTAAAAAAATTATTACGAAATTCGTGTCAAAAACTTATGGTTCAAAATTAGGGAAAAAAAACATTTCGAACAAAATCAAAACAACATCAAAATTTTGCTATGGCAAGGCAGTAAAAAATTATGCACAATTCCTCCTTAGCAAAAAAACATTTAATAACCAAATAATGGGAGACACGCTATTTTTGGATGATGAATTTTTCGATTCCTTCAAACCCAAACCCCCCCCAATCCATCAATGGACACATCCCTTAAAAATATTATCACTAAAGGAATTGGATTTCGAATTACTTAATATTATTAATTATAATTTAAAGTATTCAGATGAAAAGTGAATAAAAAGATTAATTGGTTATTTACAAATTGTAATTTATATATTTTTTTTATTTTCTAGTGTATTATTTAATGAAATGATGGAAAACAAAATTTGGTTGTTGAAGTGTTCCTTAGTTATTAATTACATTACAAAAGTAAACAAATTTACTGAAGGCATTGTACAACACAATAAGGTGATTGTCAATGCAATTCAGTATTTCTCAAAGAATGTTTTGAAGACAATAAATTATGAACATATATTATTTATTGATCGTTTGGCCAGTTGGTGGACCTATTACCATAGTATAACATTAAATGTTACACATAGTGTGTAAGTATTATTCATCTAAAATCTTGAAACTTAAATAATAAATAAAATTAAAAATTATCAACCTTGCATAGCTTCTCCGTACATAATAGTAAGTCCCACAACGTTGACATAGGCCAAGGCAGAATTGTTTTGTTTTGGTCACCTAACACCTCTTCCACAATTGAGGATTATTTTTTGGCGTGCATTAGGCAATATTATTGGAACACTACCGTCATTCAGCAACACCACACTGTAAATAAAATACATACAATTTATTTAATATACATTTGAAATTTATTTTATTATTATTTCAGCTTAACAATATTCATAACCACATTCAAATAATACAAATAATAATCAATACAACATACCTTTTCAATAAACAGGAAACAAAATTTGCACTTAAAAAACTTAAAGCCAATAATATCTTAAAATCAATTAAAACCAATAATATAACAACATACGCAATAGAAAATAAAAATAAAATAACAGAAAAATTAGACCAATTAAGAACCGATGCCACAATAAGACAAATAATGAATATCACCAAAGATATATATATAAGTACAGCATTATATCATGAAGTAATTGACTAATTAGTAAATGATAATAAGTAAGTTCAGAACTCAAATAATTTATTTAATTGTTTTGTCTTATGTTTCAGTTATCAACAACAGTGTGGGAAAATATAAAATTTAAGAATAATATATATGAAGATGAAGAAAAAACTTTAAAGAATGTTGCAACAAAAAAAATTTTTATCGACAAACTACTCAACAACTTAACATTAACATTACAAACAACGACCAGAAACATATATACAGACTACATGAACAAACTACAAACCTACAAACAACAATTGCATGACTTTACAACAAACAATACAAGAACACAACACACAACACACAACACACAACACACACCGAAGACGAACTTTTGACAATCATCACAAACATATAAACCATAACAAACAACACAAACTATAACAAACAACACAAACTATAACACACACAACAATACACTTACAGACACATACAAAAACAAAAAATAACAAGTAATATATTATAATACAATTACCAAATAATATAAAATTATGACTTTATTAAAATATATAATTTAAAAAATGTAATCAAACTTCATCAGTCTATTATATTATATGTCTATAGTAATTTACCATTCCCCCGGAACACAATTTATTATATATTATATTATATTATGAAATTAATTATTTGTATATGATTATAGTATGTATTATTATATTGTTTTATTCTTTTGTTCAGTGGTTTTTCACCCGTCATTGTACATGGTCAGCGCGGGCAATACCGAACAGCAGTTACTGCCTCCGCCACCGTCAGGATCATTGTTGCAGATGGTAGTGGTTGAGTCTTCATATATTGAGTACAACATATAAGTGTAATGTTCCACACTACCCAAGGGGTCTTACACATAAGCGCGTTTTTTTTTATCAAGGTGGTTTCGCCTAGAGCACTAGTCCACCGTTTTTGTAATCTTCATACTGGATGCTAAAATAAAAATAACAATAGTTAATAGTCATTATGTTTGAATTATTAAGTTTTATATATTACCATCTTTTTAATATGTCGACTCTTTTGATACGGTTGATGGAATTTTTTTTTGCAAGTTGGGCATTCATATGGTGTCACTGATATCCTCGAGGAGTCACTCATATCCTCTAAAATGTAGAAACAAACCAGTATTAATTTTAGCCAAACTCCTGATAATAAATGATTATAAATTAAAACTTACGTTTGTTTTTAGCCAAATTGTCTTCATCATTAGCATTAACATCACTATCATCGTCATCACTATCATCTCCTACATAACTTGAATCAATATGAACCTAATGAATACTATTGATCAATAGTAAAACATATCTATATGCTATATACACATTTTAGGTAATACATATATCTGACGCATTTGAAGTAATGATGTCAATAGTCATGACAAGTGACTTTTATCAAAATAGCAAAAAATATATTAAACATAAACTAAAGACACTTGTTGATCAAAATATTCTAAATCGCCATTCAATTAACAAAGAGGCATACAAATATAGAATAAATTATAAAAATCCCACTACACGAGACATACTAGTGTATGAAGTACCTAAATTAAAAGAGGATAATGTCATACTTAAGATCCGTTATATGAATGCCGACGAATATTTATTCTATGCAGGATTATTCAAGGTTATGCTACTTGATCTTAAAATAAATTTAGTAATGTATATTAACTGATTTTTTTTATTTACAGATGAACACAAAAATGTTTTTTGCTGACTTTAGTCACCTGGAAACAAAATACAAAAATAATGTAGAACTTTTTACAAACAAAGTAAATTATATTGAAAAATATACACAGGAGGTATTGAAAAAAAATTTTGATATTGAGTGTTCCATATTTAAAAACATTCATGAAATACACAAACAATTCATTTTAAACTTTAAAAGTACTATCAGTGAGGCGGTTAATTTATTTAATGATGACCCCAAAAAAATTATAATTAATAGTATCTGTCATAAAGATAAGATAATTTTAGAAAAAAAAAACATCAAAATATATTTATCACCATCATCGTTTTATAATAAGTATGTATATATATAATATGTATATTTTTGATTTCATAATCATTAATTATTACATGTGTTTTATTTTTAGGACAACAATTGACGAACATTTTAATTTAAATATATAATTTTTACTTATATCTTGTGAATTTCTGCCCTATCGTCAACTATATTCTTATATTCCTATGTTGCTCACACAATCTCCAATTGTACAAACCACATAAAAATTTCAATGATTTAATTATAAGCATTTTTTTTTAAAATACATTATGACAATAGTTTTTAATTATATTACAGTAGAGACTATGTCAGTTGGCGACCACCCGCCTCAGTCAACAGTGGACGACCCGCCAGGGACAACCGTCAACAACGTTCCTGCATCTCATCAAACTGAAGCAGGTAATACTGCTGTTTTTTTTTATACATTTTACTTATAT